TTCCACTGCCCTTTCCACACCTGCCCAGACAACTTATTCAATCCCCTCTCAACCCAAGGGGAGAACACCCCCCCTCCTTTCCCCTTCTCCTTCCGCAATTGTTTTTCAATGGGGAAACTCCAGTCTTTTTACACTGCACCGTCCGACGCCGGGGACATCCAGCGGGGCAAGGCGCTGCTGTTGCCGGGGCGCAATGCTCTCAGGAGCGGTAGCGAACTGAGGTCGGTTCTACCCCACACACACACACACACACACACACACACACCCCGCACACGCCCGGGACTGCAGGGCTCGTGCCCCCTGGGGAGGAAGCCACCGAGACGCAGGGCAGGGCAGGGCGGGCGGCAGCGCTCAGACATCGCTCCCGGCTCCCATTCCCTGAAGATGCATGGCACCGGACTCTACTTGTTGGCGCTGCCAAGTGGCTCCTTGTGGTAACGGTGGGCGAGACTGTGCCCCAGCTTCCAGGCAGACTATTTCTTGGCTAGGTCTGCTGTACTGATGAGCACGGGGCGAGCAAGCAAGTGCCTGCGGTCTAGGACTCCCGGGGCATGTCAAACCTGCCTGGGGTTTTTTGCTCTGTTTGATGCCCTCGAAAGCAGATCTTTCCTTCCAGGGTCCTGCAGCCAAGAGCATCAGCGATCCGTTTAGCTATTCTAATGCCACCATGCCTCCAGGGCACTGGTAAAAAGCTCTCCAGACCTTCATCGTGTTCAAAGAGATCGTCTCCCACAACAAAGGCAAAGAGTAGACGTCGTTTATGGAAGCACTGAATGTTGTTAAGAGATGAATCTAAGCACAGTGGATTTTTAGGCACTTACTACTGCAGCACAGGGATCCTCGGGCTATAACGACACATCAAAATGTTCATTCCCTTCTTGGCCAATTATAATATGGTGTCTGGCTCCATCTTTTCTTCCTCTTAAATACCACAACCACATGTTAGACTTTGAATCCCCTTGGTGGATACATTATGTGGGGCAGGTGCTGGTTACAAGTTTTGGGACCAAAAGAACAGCCCAAGTGTTCAAAAATCAGAGCTCTTGTCTGTTTATAAGAATAGTAGCGGCCTTAGGGGAGGACAAATGGGGTGACTGCCTGGGGCCCCACACTTTAGGGGGCCCCAAAATTTTGCAACACATTTTTGCAAGCCACTTCCTTGCAAAAACTTCACCCCCCAAAAAAAAAAAATTGTTGCAAAATTTTGGGGGGGATGAAGTTTTTGCAAGGAAGTGGTTCTATTTGCATTTTAACACAAGGCTATTTATCTAATTCCCCCCAAAAATACTGAAAAGATCCACGATACAACTGTGGTGGGTTAATATTTACCTGAGTATCTCTAAGGGACCCCAAATGACTCTCTTGCCCAGGGCCCCAACGACCCTAAGGCCACCACTGATAAGAATCTTTTCCTTTTTTTTGCTGGGAAAGCAAACAAGTATGAAAACTGCTGAAACTTAAGGACTTCTCAGGGCAAATATAAGTTGAGACAGGGTTTTTGAGGAACAGATTGGGTGAAATCCTGGTCAATTGCCATTTGACCATTGCTGGTCAATGACTTTTGTAGTTTTGTGAAACCATGAGCATTTGAAATACTATTGATTCTAAAGACCTGAATCTTAATAACCACCTAGGGACAAGTACTTTTCTCTATAAAATACAGAAAGTGAGACTCCTCCCCCTTGCAAAACAAAAAAAGTTATCTACCTCATGCTGATGATAAACTGTAGTTCAGTGACTTCCAGAGTTGGTCTAAAACAGAAAAAAAAAGTATACAAGTTTATAGTTTTAAACTGAAATTTAAAATTTCTGAAATACTTGAAAAACCAATATTTTTTTCAAGTAATGATTTTTTTCTAAGCTTGTTCATTTCTTTTTCTGTCAACGGTGTTTGCCAGCGGAAAAAAAAATGAAAATCCGAATTTCAGTTTTTACCTGCTTCAATGAAAAGGTAAGTAACAGGAGGAAAGGAAGACAGAAATTAATTGAGCACATAGAAGAGGTCAACTTAAATACACATATTATGTGGCTGAACCTCAGTTATACATTATATATATATACACAGCTTGCTGTTGGAAGGTTATTGAAAAACTAATAATATGCACTAGATTTTAAAAGTGAGCTTTATTTTCCCTTTCTACACTGCCAAATTGGAGGCAGGAATAATTTTCATTTTCATTAACAATTTTTAGATTTAGCTTATGTCACTTGAATATTTAAGTAATTTGTATAGATTAGGTACAAAAAGGTAGACTGGATTAAGTCTATGTTGAAAAGCGGGTGTTAGTGTACTGAATTTTTTTCAAAGGTTATGCATGCATTTTGTGCATACAGGTTACCTTGACTACACATGCAAATCAGTAGCTGATCATACAGGTGATTAATTTTGTCCATGTGTGCATGCAATTATTTAACTCCGATACTAAATTATAGCAAATATGAATGCATGCTAGGAACACAATTGCACACAATTTTTGCATGTGAAATTATGAGTGTTCCTCTCAGATAATCTATACTGGAAGGCAAATCAGAAAAAACATAATGAAATTAGACAAACTGTTTCATAATGTGTATAGTTAATCCAAATTAAGAACTAGAGGTGCACCGATATATCGGTCCAATATCAAATCGGCACCAATATAAATAAAATGTAAATGTATCGGAAATCAGCCTGATGTGGCTGATAATTTGGCCAATAAATGGCCCGTGCATGCACGTAGCTGCAGCACAGCACATAAGCAGCAAGAAGCACAGCCAGGCAGCTTGGAGAGTTGTGAGCAGCTGATAAGTCTGTTGTAGTAGAAGGGGAGAGGGAAGGGACGTGAGGGGACAGATAAAGGACCCCAGCAAACTGGAGCAGGGGCTGGGGCAGACACTGCCCAGCTGGGGCAGGGTTAATGTGGGACAGAGCTGCGGCTCATCCAGGGGGCATAGGGAGGCGGGGGTGGCTCCTGCCCTGCATGAACCCCAGGAGGGCATGGGGGGGCATGTGCCCCTAGATCTGTGTGGGGCATGGGCTGCAGCTGTGGGCTGGGCCTGCGGCAGCACCGGGCTCTTCCCAGCATGTGGGGGGTGGAAGGGTTGGGCCAGGGCTGCACTCAGGGTGGGGGCAGCAGCAGCACTGGGAGGAAGGGCTATGGTGAGCTACACTGAATTTTGGGGTGGCTGCAGCCCCCCCCATAGCTCTGCTCCCAGCACCACCGCCACCCACCTGAAGCACAGCCCGGCCCAGCCCCCTGCTGGGAAGAGCCCAGCACCATCCTGGCCCTAGCCTGCAGCTGCATCCCACCCGGCCTGCGCCCTGCACAGATCTGGAGGGGGGCACACTCCCCTCCCCATGCCCACCCCCAGCTGGGCAGTGCCTGACCCAGCCCCAGCCCCCGCCCCCCACTCCTCCTTCGCTGCGGAGGGCCTTGATCTGCCCTCTCACCCCCCTTCCCCCGCACCTTCCACCACAGCAGACTTACTAGCTGGACACTGCTCTTCAAGCTGCAGGGCTGCATATTGGAAATTGGATTGGTATCAGCAGATATTCCTCCTTAAAAATTGGCTATTGGTATCGACCCCCAAAATCTGTGGTGCATCCCTATTAAGAAGCATACTAACATTTACCATTAAAACCTTAGCAATTGTACAAAGAAGAGCAATAGATCAACCTATCTAAGCTCAGGTTTCTATAACCTCAGGTTTCTATTGCACCAAAACGAAGGAGCCTCTAGCATCATCAAGGTAGTTGCAAGCAGTGGAATTGGGTTGACCTTGTAGGAAGATTGATAGACTGAAATACAGGAGAGCCGGAATTCTAGTCTCGGCTCTCGTAC